CATATATAGAGAGTGTGTGTGTGTGTGTGTGTGTGTGTGTGTGTGTGTGTGTGTCTCCTCTAGTCAGGCAGAGGTTACACAGCAACACAAGCGGATCTGTGAGGAACCGAACCTGCTGGTTCATCAGAACCGTCTGCGCTGGACACGGGTGGACCGAGTTCGAGGTACTCTTTCTGGCTTTTGTCTGTTTTACGCTACACATTTACACCACTAGTAAAACTGTACCATGGTACGGTGATGGTATCAGGTGGTACTTTTGGAATACCATGGTATTATGCATCATTTTGGGCATCTGTCTCGTTCCTAGTGTGCTCCCTAGATAGGGAGCACACTAGGTTTTGAGTCAATAAAACACATTTTTGCTAACTACATTTGATATAACTATGATATATTCTTCACAGAATAGTATGTTTGTGTTCACGTATTTGTGTGTGTGTGTGGTGAAACTAGTTTTATTCAGCATTTGTTGCTTATCGCTTCATTTGTAACTGAAAGTTGACGGTTGGAATCCGTTCCCGCGCGCGCGAATCACCAAATCGGCGCGATTTCAAATCAGCGCCGCGCGCGAATCATCACATCAGCGGCTTTAACGGGCGCAGATGCTGATTCATCAACCGCTGATGTTTTCTCGACGTGAGCCCGTGCACCGGGGCGTCATGGCAACACGGCACATCGGAGCGCGCGGAACCGGGCAGCTTTCGAGGCACGGAGAGCTGTGTTCTTTGTTACACAGACACGAACGACAGCGATGTGATAGAATAGCTATATAACGGGTTTAGGATGTTTGACGTGTTTAAAATCAGTTTCGGTAGCGTTAATCTTTGCATTCTTTAGGGAAGATGTTATGATTGTTATGATCACTATCTTGTTAGAACTTGTGCGTGTTTATTGCAGACTGTTTGTTCTTGTACAAATGTTTTAAATCAGCTTTCACGGTAGTACTATAGTGATACCATGGTAAAGTGATAGTGTGAGATGATAGCACACTGGCATCATATTTTGCAACATTTTAACTTGATTTTTCATTTAAGATCATTTTTTTTATATTTTGTTACGTTAAACTGATTTTTCATGGAAGATAATATTTTATTGTTTCTCATATCATATTTTTTTACATTTTAACTTGATTTTTTAATTGAAATTGTGGTTTTTTTCATATCATATCTTGCTACATTTGAACCTGATTTTCTAATGGAAGATCTTTTTTTCATATCATATCTTGATAGATTTTAACCTCATTTTTCATGGAAGTTCACCGTTTTTGTTTATGTTTTCCATATCATATGTTTTTTGGCATGAAAACAGCTGTAGAAGTTGGCACAGCAATAAATTACAAACAAACAATAATATTCTGATGTAGAAACATGTCTATGGTGCTGTTGTGCGATTATCATATTCATATACACCTTCAAAGAATACCACGGTAAACACAAGCAGTACCACAGTGCTTTTTGGCTAGTAAGATCTGTAACCATATAAATCCATTTAGACTCTTTTAGAGCCTGTTTACATCATTAACCGGAAATCTCCCAATAACAGTCCCAGCTAATTGTGATATTTGTGCAATTAGAGTCTGAAGCGCAGTGCTGGAGAGGTGTAATCTGATCAGGACTGAACATTGGCCCGGCCTGCTCTTAAACCAGCTCATGAGTGAAATCTGCTGATGGTCGAGAGCGAACGAGCGTGTGATTGAAGTTGTGGTGAACGAACGGGAGAGTTTTTTGTCTTGAAGGCATTCTGTGAAAGCGCTGAGACGACCAGAAACAGATGGTGTTTGCGCCGGTCACTGGTGATGATGATGATGCTGATGTTGGAAGTGACTCGAGATGCGTTGGCCTCAGGTTACTCTTAAGTAAAGGTGTAAAGAGCCGGTTTAAACGGTGTGATGAACGAGAGCAGGCTGAATGCTGCACTTGCAACTTTTTAAAATGCGAGACTTGCATCACCAAAAGAAATGCGATCGTTTGCATTTACAGTAAGTGTTTTGCAACAGATTGCAGTTTCTGTTCTTCCTCTTTTTTTGTACTAACAGGTAGTTTTTCTCCTTTTTTTTTTCTTTCTTCCCCCAGCAGAATGTTCTTCCTCTTATTCAGAGCGACGTGGCTGCATTAGCTGTGTGTGTGTGTTTTAGAGGAGACTGAACTGCATTTCTGTCAGGACCAAAGATGATTGACAATTAGCATACAGTTTGGATTGGCGGTATGGTTCTGTTCTGGGCAAGAACTCCCTGCGCATCCATGCAGACTAGCATAAGAGCAGGGAGAGAAAACTGCTGATAATACTGAGGGACCTTATATATATATATATATATGCTTAAATAGGTGTCGTATTCCCATAGGTAGATGAGAGTCAGCTGATGCGAGCTTGACTAACATGACCTGCCAGGACTAACGCTACGCTAGATTCTATGTGTTCGAGGAAAATGTTCATATAAACCCTGTTTGTGCCTGTTTGATCACATCAGTTTCTCTGAACACATGATCTGTCCGTCCTGTTAACACTCGTTATGTTTTAGTCTGAAGAGCATCACATCTTTATTCTTTTTGCGTTACAGTAATGGGAATTAGGTGGCGAAAAGCACTTAACACAGTGTAGTAACTAAACAAGCTTTTTACATTTTTCATTTATGGCGTAAGATTACCATCAAAATGACAAAAATTTTGTTAAAAAGCAGAATATATCAAATAGATTAAAAAAAATAAAATAAATATATATATATTAA